CTTCCCTTTTGCCTCCTCCACCAGCATCTCAAAGTCAAGCTTGCCCTTGGCCGGGGCTGCGCTGCCCCCAGTGAGCATTGCGGAGTTGAAATAAAGCTTTTCCAGAACAGGGAATATCTGGGAGGCTGCTGCCTGGGGAGGACTGATCCTGCTGGCCCTTTGGTCGCTCCTCCCTCCCTTCACCAGCACCCACAAGGCTCGCCCTGTCCAGCCACAGCCTGAGCTACAGCCTGGGGTGGGGGGGGGAGGTAAGGGTTAATTTGCAATATTGCAATGGAAGATTTGCATAAGGATGCACGGCTGGAGCTGTAAGTTTTCTGCCTGAACCTGCACATTTCGAGGTGGGAGGCACCGCTCTGGGGGTTGCGCAGCGTGCAGAGGAAACGGCGTTGGGAGGGGGATCGGGGTGAAGAGGCCGGTTTGGCTTGGAGAGGCGATTCCGAGAGCAGCCACGGCTTTCAGACAAGGCACAGCACGAGGAACAAGCACCACAACCCCGATGGCTGGGTGTCAGAGGAACCGCTTACGAAAGCGACGGGTTACGAAACGGCTGTTACCAAACCTCCGGCCGGGAAACCCGCGCCCGCTCAGCTGCGACCCCCGGGCTCCCCACATCGTCAGGGGCTGCTCTGCAAGGGGCCACCTCTTGCCCGTTGCTGTAGCCTAAAGGGTGGTGGGTCCGGCACCACAGGGTCCAGCACCACTGGGTCCAGCACCCGTGCTCAGCTGGGAAGCAGCACTGGGGACCTGCAGCACAGCGTCACCTCCGCAGGCTGCTCCTCACGGGGTTGCATCAACCTTCGTGTCTTGCAAATAAAAGGGGGTGAGTGCCAGGGACAGGCTATTTTAGGCAGGTTTCCCCCTTACCATGGTTGCTATGACCTGAAAATAGAACGTGACGGAACTGGCTGCAGTACTGATGCCATTCTGTTGCCAGTATAGGCAAAGCTGGAGCTAACCCAAAGCTCAAGCACTGGGTTTCACAACCTTGTCCCATCCTGGGATGGAAGCGATGCTTTTGGAAAATTATCATTAAAAAAAAAAAACCCAGAGAAACAGCCCCGGAAGGGCCTCTCTCCGCCTTCCTCCCATGACACCAGGGAGAGCAGCCGGGGTGGGACGCAGCCTGCGAAACCAGAGGCTTCCTCTCCCAACCCCTCCTAAGAAACCTTGCTAAAATTCTCCCCGAAACGCCCCTTCCCACAAGGAGACGTGTCCTGCAAACCAGAACCATGCTGCAAACCGTGCCCCCCCCCCCCAGCTCTGCATGTCGGATCAGCTCACCGGCACAAGGAAAACGCAGAGCCCGAAACGCCTGCGAGGGTTGGGTAATTCCCCTTTTAATATTCCCGCTTGGTTTGCCCTGCCCTTTAAATCCTCCTTCCCAAAAAGCTGTCACAGCATTTCAGCAACTCGCAGCACGGCAGCGGGATGGGGAACCGGAGGATGGGTCCTGCTCCTAATTGTCCTGCCGGGATGGAATTAATGGAGCCGGTGCCCCCAGGGAGAGCATCGGGCGAGGACAGATGCTGTTGTCCGGGAGGGGATGGACAGGTACGCGTGGATTCGGGTTTGAGAGCGAGGGAGAAATTACAGGAGGGGTTTCCAGCGGAGCGATAACCCGGGTGGGCTGCGAGGGCGATCGCTCTCCAGCGAGGCAGCATCAAACCATGGCCGCTAACATCGGGGTCTGCCACGCTGTAAAATCCTCGTAGGGTCATAGAATCGTTTAGGTTGGAAAAGACCTTTAAGATCACCGAGTCCAATTAAACCACCGCTCGTCACCCCCTCGGAGAGGATTCACCCGTAGCAATGCCCCGGGGATGAGGTTGTCCTCTCCACGTAGGGCACGATGGAGGCAAGACGTGAGTCCGGAGCCGGACCGCACTCGGGGCAGGTCCCCTGCGTCCCCTGTGGCCGTGGTGTCCCCAGCCTGGGACTGACGGTGCCCCCGGGTGACAAATGTCATGCAAATATTCTGTTTTCTGTAGCTCAGACTCCGCGAGGACCTGGGCATCCTCTCCCTTGGGTACAGGTTGTTGGCCTGAACCTCGTGAAACCTCCTGGGAGCGAGCGGGGAGAGCCCCAAGGTGCAGGACCTGCCCGGCACCCCGGGGGCCCCCAGCCTGCAGGGCTGCTCCCCTCCAACTCATCCCCATCGGGGGGAACCCCCCCGCAACCTGACAGCCTCGGGGGCAATTAACTTCATTTCCCAGGTTTAGCGATGGCTCATGAAGCCTCCCCAGTATCCCCCCTCCCTCCCAGCACCCCCTGCTCCCCAGCAACCCTATACAAAAGGTCACAATTTAAAGCGGGAGACAGCTCACCGCGATTCATGGCCACGATCTGAATTTCCCCCCCGCACACACACACTCAGTATCTTCCTTGACAAGCTTTCAGCTAATAAAAAAATGCCAATATACCGAACTGAAGGAGAAGATGAGGCATTAGGTGATCATACAGCGAAACGCTAAGGATCAGGCGAGGCAGAGGTGTCACCGGTTAAAAACTGGATCCCCCCCCAAACCCTGGCTTTTGCCGTGCAGAACGGTCGATGGTTCCTGCTCTTCCCCGTGGAACAAAGGCTTTTTTTTCTCCTTTGCAACACAGCCTTTGGGATGGACTTGTTTGTGTCCAGAAAAGGAGGAGGATGCAAATACCAGCTACGTCAAGATGAGCGGATCCATCCTCCCCCTGCCTGTCGCTCCTATCGCGTGATGGATCGGGCCACGAGAGCAGTTGCAGCCCCTGCGGTCCCCGATAGCGAGAAGGATTAATAACAGCATTGCTGTTTGGGCTTGGGAAAAATAAACTAAGAGCTTGTTGTGCACAGCTGTAGGGCTTATCTGCAGCGGGGGACACAGAAAGAGCAGCGCCGGGAGGATAAGTGACACCGGGGACAGCAGAGGAGCTGGGCACCGGCCACAGCCCCTGCACCGCTGACACAGGAGCCGGCGAGCGGCACAGTTTGCGTCCATCTCTTCCCCCCCTTCTCCATCCTGGAGGCTGCTGAGCCATCGCCCACCGGCAGTGCCCCCGGCAGCCCCTTTCCCACACCTCTGAGTGCATAAATTAAAGGCTGGAGGGTGCACGGAGCTGCACGACTGCGGTCGCTCGTCCCCCCCGGGAGGTGCCAGCCTGAAGCGTCCCAGCTCACCGAGGTGTCTTCAGAGCACGACGCGATGATGTTCTCAATGAAGGGATTCCACTTGATGTCCAGCACGTTCCCCTGGTGACCACAGACTTTGGGGTAGTTTGGTTCGATCCGGCCTGTCTGTAATTTAAAATAAACAAACAAACAAAAATTTAGTGCTGAAGTTGGGTCTTTTTAAGGCTTGTTAGGGGAGAGAGCTCCGTAGCTCGGGCTGGGATGGGGCTTTCAGCCAGAGGAGGTGCCCGGCTGAGTCAGGGATTGGTTTTACCCCATCAGCATTCCCAGGGGTGGCTGCAGCTGATCCGTGTATGCGAAGGGGTTTCTGCAGAACACAACCCCCCCAGGGAGGGGATACCACCAGCTGGAAATCTTTGCGTGACCATCCAACACCACGGGCAAAAGGGCAGGAAGGGACCCGAGAGGCTCCAAACCAGTCCTCAGGCCTCGAGGCACCTCAGCCGCCGGGCCACGCACGAAGTATTCCGTACTTTCCTCCCAAACCGTGGCAGTGACCTTGAGCAAGGCACGTGTCTGTACTCCGCAGGCCAAATCCCCAGAGGCTTTGGGATGGCCAACACCCTTGCTTAACGACGCTAACAACCCAACGGTGACACCGCTTGATGGGATCCTCCCCCACGGAGAGGACACCTCGCAAGGCTTTTAGGGACCGTCTGGTCTTGCCGTCCCAGCAGAGCGAGGACCTGCAGGGCCCCAGGGCAGAGGATGGCGCACAGCACTCGGCACAGCCTCCTCTTAAGGTTCCCATCGCAGATGGGCTGCAGGAACCCCTGCTCCTTGCAGGGACCTTGCAGGGACCCCCTGTGACTGGCCACCCCCCCCTGCCCTTCCTTCTCCAGTGCCAGCTCCTTGCCGCAGCCCAGAGGTGGCGGCATGCTTGGAGCGTGCAAACTAACTAGGTCAGCACGACAGAGCCACTAAATATTTCATAGCCCTTCCAGCACTGACCTTTTAATGTATCGAGCTCCTGGCTCCATTTAACGTGAACAAAGAAACGCACCGAGGAGAACACGCCGCATTTTGAGCATCCGCGGCTAAGGGCAATGGCCAGGAGTGCTCTGGGCAGCCGGATCGCCCCTGTGCCATCGCTGCTGGGAAGGTTTATTTTAATTAATTTGCTCCCAGGGAGACAGGGCTGCTAATTGCCAGGCAGCCACGGTGCCCGCTGGATGGCCAACATCAGCCAGGGCTGGCGTGGGATGCACGGGCAGAGCGGCTCTGCCTGCCAGGATTCGGTCAGGCAGGGATGGAGATGCAGGAAACCATCACACGAGGCACTGAGGAACACAGGCAAGGACAACCTGAGCCCACTTCACCAAATTTCAGTTACTTTTCACAGGCATTATTATTAGAGTGAAAAGCCAGTTCTTGCTCAAATTGCTGCAACAGCTCTAAGTCATCCCGTGGACATGGCCCATATATAAGATGAGAACTAGGCTGGCCTTAGAACACTGGGGGATTGGTTATATGGGTCATTTCGGTTATTGAGGTAAAGGGGAAATAAATAAATAAATAAGTAAATAAATAAATCAATAAATAAATCGGTGCCTGCTCTGGCTGCCTTCGGTACGTGAGCAAGCGGGCGCCTTCGCTCCATCGCCGGCTGGGGTACAGGGTGACCGCGAGGCACGGAACACTCATTAACTCCCCGGCAGGCGCAGGATCGCATCCCCGTTAGCCGGCCTGCCATCAGCGCTTAACGCCAGACTGATTTCCAACTCGCGAGCCGCTTCCTAATTAGGGCACGTTCCGCAGATTCCCTACCCAGATGGCGCAGGGTTCATTTTCCCTTCGGTGGCTGATACCCACCGGTGTGATTTTAACCTCCCATTAGGGCCAATTGCAGGGGCGCCGGGGCAGGGATGGGTGGAAGAGCTGGGACGGGGTGGCTGCGCCCGCCTCCTCCTCCTGCTGCCGACAGCATCGCTTCGGCTCGCTCGGAGGGCCAAAATTGTGATAATTCTGCCCATCAGCAAGAACCTGGCTCAGATCCGAGCTGCCACGCCAGCCCTGGACCCTCAACCGCCTCCCGCCATCCACAAAGGCATTTTCTTCCCGGCATGGCAGGGTTAGGTTAACGGTTGGACTTGATGATCTTAAAGGTCTTTTCCAACCTAAACGATTCTATGATTCTATTCTATGATTTCCCTGGCAGCTCTGCCCCAGAGAAGCAGCAGTGATCACCATCCACAACATTATGGAAGAGCTGAGCGGGCGTTTTCCTGGTTAATGCCCCAGGCTTGAGGTTTATTAGTGCTATTATAAATCACTTCAGGGTTTTTTTTTTAGGGATAAAAACCAAGCAAAGAGACTTTCTGACAGCTTTGCCAAGGTGACCCAGACCTCCGGCAGCCAGGGGCTCTGGGTGATGCCCCAGCCAGAGGGACGGTCCCCTGAACCCCCCATCCTGGTGCCCCGAATCCCCCCAGCCCCTCACCCACCCCCCAGGATACTTTTCCTGGCCTGGATTACATCAAGCACCACTGCAAACACTGGAGCATCCCAGAGGAAGGGCAATACATCAAAGTGCCCATCACCCACGGCTTTTACATTTTCCTTTTACTCAGTGGCAAAGAGCCCCTTGCGAAGTCCCCGTGGCACCAAACCTGCGCCATGGGGGGCAGTGGCCCCCAGCATCTCGGGGATCCCCCCCAAACACCCAAATCTCCACGCTGGCAGCCAACGGTCCCCAGGAAAAGCGAGGAGGAGCAACAACCGACCAAGCACTGAGAGTATGCAAGGGGAATCATTAGAGAAGAAAAACGCTTCATTTAAACAAAAATAAAATCTTCCCAGTGCAGAGCCTAGAAAACAGAGGCGACCAAAAAATCGGTTTTCCACTAAGCTGAATTTTCCTAAAGAGGGGGGAAGATTTAGGAAAATGCTGGTTTTTTCACTGAAAGCATCTCAGTGTCTAAGAGCAGCATTCATATTCGGCAGCCGCTTCCTCGGGGCCTCGGGATATCGGGCACCCAAGGAGGGGCTGCGTGCCCGGGACATGGGGCGAGAGCTGCCCATCCCTGGGGAGACCTGCAGAGCCCCCAGGCTATTGCCTTCACCCAAACTCCACTGCAAAAATCATGCCATGAAAAGTTATGAAGAAAAAACCCCTGATTTTTCACATTCTTCAGGGAAAAAAAGAATTCTGCCCCCCTCTCACAGA